GACTTCGACTGCTCACTATGACGTGCGCTGACCACCAGGGGGCAGCGCAGAACACGGTGGGCGTCGGTGTCGCTGGCAGCAGGTGGCAGTGGAGGCACCGCCAACCCCGATGTGCCCCAATGACAGTGGGATGGTGGAACAGGTGAGCGGGCGGCGCCAGGCCAAAGTGGGTGTGAGCGGGGGCCCAATTGCCCCTCTGACCACCCCACAGACAGCAACTGGTGGTGGGGGGCGGGGCCCTTGCTGGCTCCCAGGCGTTGAGGGAGCTAGGCAGGGGGTGGGGCATGGCCCTAACGGATCGCCCCGCAGTCGGTGGCTGGCAGGCCCTGATCTCCTGACTGGGGCCGGGCCCTGGGCTGGGATGGGGAGCTGGGGGTGGATGGCAGCAACCAACCTCCCGTGTTGCCTGGGCTGGGGGCTGTGACCTCTTGCTGGCTACCTGAGGGTGGGGGTGACGGATGGAGGTGCGGTGAGAATGTGGGGTGTCTCCTGAGCTCGCTCTCACTCCCCCTGCTACCCTCTCCTGGGATACTATGGCTAGCTAAGAAGCCCCTGTGATCAGGTGCCAGGCGCCCGTGGGGAGCCCGCCCCGCACCTGCATGGCTTCTTCTAAGAAGCCCCTGGGATCAGGTGCCAGGCGCCCGTGAGGAGCCCGCCCCGCACCTGCATGGCTTCTTCTGGATGAGCCAGGACCACAGGGACTGTAGGGGCCGGTCGGGCTCCCCATGGGTTAGCACAGGAGCCAGTCGTTGAGGCCAGCTTGGAGAAAGCGTGCTGACCGCCTGGCTTCCGTGCGGCACCGCTTGGCGGCCCAGAGGCCCATGCTGCGCCCCAGCCCACGGCGTTGCTGTGCTCACTGCATCTCCATGTGGGGACTCGAGCACCATGACTCAGGTGGAGGGGAGTGTGTGGGTGCCCAGGTGCTGCCCAGAGGTCAGCTGGGACCTGCCCTTCCATGCCAGACGCTTGCACTTAGATCACTGGCCAGGCCTAGGGGCCACACCCATTCACAAATTGCATGCTCCGGGCCTCTAGTATGAATATAAGATCTTTGTTTCATCTCTTCCCGCCCCCCATTCCCTCTGAGAATCATCAGTCTGTTCCATTTCTATGCCTCTGAGTCTATTTCATTCACCAGTTTATTCTGTTCATTAGATTTCTTATTTGTTTATTTTGATTTTTAGATTCAGTTGTTGGTAGGTATGTATTTGTTGCCATTTTGTGGTTCATATTTTTGATCATTTTCTTTTTCTTCCTCTTCTTAAAGAATACCCTTCAATATTTCATATAATACCGGTTTTGTGGTGATTGAACTCCTTAGCTTTCTCTTGTCTGTGAAGTTCTTTAACTGACCTTCAATTCTAAATAGTAGCTGTGCTGGGTAGTATTTCTTGCCACTCCCTCCTGGTCTTCATAATTTCTGGTGAAAAATCAGCTAACAGTTTTATGGGCACTCTATTGGAGGTAACTAACTGCTTTTCTCTTGCTGCTTTTAAGATTCTCTCTTTATCTTTAACCTTTGGCATTTTAATTATGATGTGTCTTGGTGTGGTCCTCTTTGGGTTCCCCTTGTTTGGGACTCTCTCTGCTTCCTGGATTTGTAAGATTTTCCTTTTTATTTTATTTATTTTGGCAGTTTCTAGAATATTCTTGAGTAACCTTATAACCATGGTTTTGAACTCTATATCCAGTAGTTTGCTTTCTTCCATTTCTTTCATTTGTGACATGTTTCTTTGTCTCCGCATTTTGGCTGCTTCCCTGTGTGTGTTTCTATGTATTAGGTAGAGCTGCTAAGTCTCCTTAGTTCAGTGGTTCTCAACCTTCTTAGTGCTGCGACCCTTTAATACAGTTCCTCATGTTGTGGTGACCCCCAATTTCATTGTTACAAATTGAACATAATTAAAGCATAGTGATTAATCACAAAAACAACATGCAATTATATATGCGTTTTCCGATGGTCTTAGGCGACCCCAGTGAAAGGGTTGTTTGACCCCCAAAGGGGTCTTGACCCACAGGTTGAGAACCGCTGCCTTAGTTGATAGAGTGGCCTTGTGTGGTAGGTGTCCTGTAGGGCCCAGTGGATCAGCCTCGCCAGTCACCTGAACTGGGAGCTCTAGGTGCACCCCTTTATGGGCTGTGAGCACAGTCTTGTTGCAGTTGAGCCTTGATTGCTGTTGGTGTCACTGGAAGGAATTGACCTCCAGGCCAATTGGCTGTGGGGACCAGCTGTGACTACAGTGGGAGAGTCTGGGTTCAGTGGGGCTTTGGTGCTCAGAGTCCGCCCCTTGAGTGTGTTGTTTATGAATGTGTAGAGTTGTAATCTGGTATGATCGGACACTGACCATTGGGTACACTGGCTCTTGGGTCTCCAGGGAGGTGCAAAGTCAGCCACTACCTGGGGCCACCCAGTAGGAGCTACAACAATGGTTCCCAACCTTGTCTGCACATTAGAATCACCTGGAAATCTTTTAAAAATCCTGATTTCTAGGCCCCTCCTCCGGAAGTTCTGTTTCTTCGTTACTAATGTTGTGGCCTCACCCCATAACAAAGAAACAATTTCCGGAGAATGAGGCCCAGAAATCAGGATTTTAAAAAGATTCCCAGGTGATTCTAATGTGCAGCCAAGGTTGAGAACCACTGAGCTACAGAGAGATCTGCAGATTCCCCTTCTTTGTACCAGGTTTGGAAGTGCCCAGACGAGGCCCAGCTGTGAAGCAAGGCAGGCTGGAGCCGGCCCTGGGCCTTTTATTGATAGGTTTGGGGCTTCCTGACTCAGCTGGAGCTTGTTTGAGCGATTTTACCCTGAGCTAGGACGACCATTCATATGCAAAAGCCGCTGCGCACAGCTTGGGTGGGGCTGTACATTGGATGAGGCGGGGTCTTAGGGAATCACCGGGCGGAGCAAAACAGAAATGGCTGCCAGTCAGCCCTGAGACCTCTTCGTATGTGTCTGTGTCCCCCAGAACCTCCCCCTGGTGCTGGAGCTCATAGGAAGTGGGGCTTTGTAAGTTCAGTTTGTGGTGCCGGTCATTTTAAGAGGAGCAGCTGGGTCTCCAGCAGCCTGTGTGTCACTCGGCCACAATCCACACTGGTTTTTACAGTCCGTAGTTCTTATTGCCTTTAGAGACTTCTTATCCCAGCTCTGGGACCCTGGGCTAGTGATCTGTTGTGGGACTGGGACCCCTTGCTCCTCCGGGTGCCTCCACAGAGAGGGTCTCCTTCCAGATTAAAAAGCTGCACACATGGGTGCCAGACCAGGCGTTCCGCGCCTCTGCACCTCCCACCAGTCTCAGTGCGCTTCCTTCTTTACCTCTCTAGTTGTAGGACTTCCACTCAGCCAGCTCTCCCGGGGTTCTGGGTGGTGGAGGTTCTGTGTTTTAGTTGTAATTTTAATGTGATTGGGAGGTGGCAAGTATAGGTATTTACTTACCTACACTGCCATCTTCCAAACTACTGCAAATTTTTTGAGAAGCATGATCATACAACTTAATATGTGTTTAAAAAACACACCCACAATCTCAGTATATTCAGAGTTCTTAGGATTCTTCTCCTAAATCCTACCCTCTTCTAACCTTACCAGTTAAGAGTGATGAACACCTTACAGGTGTTTTGATAGATACCTTTGGTAAATATTTGAGTGCTATTTTTTCTGGGATGCCTTCACACTTCCCTGAATATTTCGATTCTCCTATATTCTTATATAGATTAATGGTTCTCTCTCGGGAGTAATTTTCCCACCCAGGGAACATGTGGTAATGTTTGGAGAGATTCTTGTCAAAACTAGGGGTTGGTTGGGCTACTGTCTTGTAGTGGGTAGAAGCCAGGGCTGCCACTAAACACCCTACCGTGCGTAAGCACAGCCCCCATAGCAAAGACTATGAGGTCTGACACAGCAGCAGCACTGTGGGCGAGAAACCCTAAATTAGACATCTTCTGAAGTGGTGACAGGCTTTCCGAAAGCTTTGATCACCAGTGATTGAGGAGGCGCATTAGAACATGACTTGACCATGAACGAGGCTGTTGGTTAGAACTGTCATTTTCTAGTCTGCATGTTTCTATTGGAAGGAGTAGAATTGAAGGGATTCTTTCAAAAGTCGAACTCTTTAAATTTTACTGGTGAGGAAACCAAGACCTGAAGAGAGCAATTGATTTTTTAGTCCTTGGATTTCTTTCAATTACCTCATAGCTTTTTATTCTTTGAAGAATTACTAATTCTTTTGTGTGTTTTGCAAGTGCCCTGTTTTTGTGACATGAGCTGTAATTTCAAAATGGTTAAATGCATTTTAAATGGAATTTTGACAACTATGAAGTAATTTGTAGACCATATTGGATTGCTTTAGTGTACTGTTTCTTGGAGAACTGATTCATGATCAAGTTTATTTGAAGATATGGTTTGCTTAGAGATTTGTAGTTTCTGTGATTCCTCTTAAATCATTGACATGACTTAAAAGGTAATTTTGTATATCTTTTGAGGGGGAGGACGAGGTCATATCAAAGTCACTAAACCGACACTATAGTTCTAGTTTGTAGAATGTGCGTCATGATGCTTATTTCTGACTTGCAAAAAAAGGACTAAATGAGTTACTAACAGCATAAACTGCAAGCTTGCCTGGTGTGCCTTAAGAACAAATACTATCTTCAGTTGTCTTTATTAAATATTGAATACAAGTGTCTGAGCTACAGGAACGGTAGGAATGGTTTACTCTAGTCTCTCTCCCAGTGAGAAAACACCAGTTTTGGAGAGCATGTAACTCATCTGAGGTCACCAAGTTCGATCCAGAAGAAATACAGGAAGTAAAGGGGAGAGTGTAGAGGGGAGAGCTCAGGCACCGCCTGTGAAGTCCTATGGCCCGGCTTGTGTGCAGGCTGCACCCCATAAACACAATGGGCCTTCACCAGAGGTCCAGGCCGCTGATGTCTGTGGTATTACGTCTTATCAGCTCCATGGGAATGAGCACATAGCCACACTATGCAAGCATAAACAGCACCTGTCTCAGCACGCACTAGGTCCCTGGAAAAGTCTCTTTAAAGAATGTGAACTGGAAGCCAGAATGCCAAAGGGGAGACGGCAGAAGGCATGTGGCATCTCTGCTTCTTCACCCCAGCAGGGTTTGAGGAGCACGGGAGGTGGCCCAGAGAGAG